CTTTCAACTTTTAAAGGACGCCCTTCTGGTGTTCATGTCCTTGACTGAAGTTACAGGGTGTAAGTGGAAAGCCATGGGGTGGTCAGAAACCACAAACAACACCACTGTCTGGTAGCACATTGGAAATCTTGCGAAACAGTACAGAAATACTAAAATAAACTATTTTGATCTAATATTTGGGTAAAAGTCTTTCTGTCCTGTCCTCCCTTGCTCCAGGGCAGCAGGTCCAGACCTGCTTGCAGCACCAGAGTCCAGCAAGGAGAATACAGACTCTAGCACAGGATCTCCCATTAGCTGGCCAACCAGTCCAGAGATGGAGCTGGAGCTCGAGGACCCAGAACCTATGCCTGGCCTTGGAGGGGAGGAGCTGCCTCACATGCTGCTCCCTGACAGCTTGAGCCAGCTAGAGGAGTTTGGACGCCATAAACGGCCACGCAAAGCTCACCGTGGCCACGGGAGACCCCGTCTCTTCAGTGACCTGTGGGTTCGCATTGGGGATGGGTGAGATATTTATTCTGATTAGTTTGGCTGTAGCTGAGTTGTACCTCTTCTCAGTTCTTTTCCAGTCCAGCTAAATTCCTCATAACCTAATTTTCCCCCTCCTTTCTTCAGCACCACCCCACCACCAAACGTGAGGATAATCAATGGCTATGTGACAGTGGAGCCTCCGCTGACCTATCAAAAGCATCGCAGGCGGATGGAGATCTACGAGATAGATCGAGAACCCAGTTCGCCTTCGTCCACTTCACCGAGCCCCAGCTCAGCCCAGCTAGCTCACAGCAAAGTCACGCTGTCTTGTGCTTTAGCGTGGCTTTTATCACACATATTGTTCACCTCCTGACCAAAAGAAAGCATTACCTCATGAGAAACATCGGACAATACTTCATCCACACCAGAGCAGTGGAGCGTACCTGATAAAGCCAAACAAGGAGCGATCGTCAGGGAGAAACATCTCAGTCGGGATAAGACGTCTTAACGTGGGACGACCCGGTCTCCACCATAGAGCGAGATCGGCTTCAGGCTGCTGAAATGCCAATGTCTTTAAAAACTTGCCAAGTCTCTTAATGTGTGGAATAAGCTCTGTGCTGCGTGAGAAGCAAAACGTGGACTATGTTGAACTGCAGTGGGGTCAAGTCCAAACCTCCTGAAAGTATTGAGATAGAATAACAAACACAGCACAATGAAGAATTGTAAATTTAAAGAGCTGGAGTCTTGTACCTATAAAACTGTAATATTATGTAGAAAAATAAGACTGACTTTAATAATGAGAATAGGTCATACTAACAGTTATAACTCTGTGAAACAAAAACGAGTTGAATAAACAAGGTACTGTGTGAGGAATTTACCTTCACACAGAGAAGCACTCGGATGCCACTTTGTAAATTGTGCATTTTGTTCATAAAGAAATATTGTATATTTATTATTTCTGGAAGAAAGAGTATATTTTCTTGCTTTTTGAAATAAAACGTAAATAAATACAGTCTGTAAACTAATCGAGTGCATCAAGAGGTCTTTCTTTCTTTCAGCAGACATAAACTGTGTGTTTAAGAATAAGTTTATAACACCACCATCTGTTCTTTATTTAAAGTGAAATTATGGATTTTTTTGTCATAATCTAATGAAGCATATACTTCGGAATTGTCAAAAACATTTAAATATGACTATTATCTGTGAAAATGAATAAAAACTATAGTGGAGCTACACGTTTTTAACGAGGGAAACAAGCAACATGTGAGTTGAGTCTGCCACCTGCTGGCTAATACAAGGAAAACATGAGGAAAACAAACCTCATAATGAGTCTTCTGGCAGTTGTGTCTCCATTATAAAGCTCACAAACAGGACTGTGTAACTGTAAATGCAACTTTGAGAAATGTGAAAAGTATATATTATCACACAGCAACAAAAATAAGGATATTAGCCTTTAATCAAAGTTCATACTACATTTAAACATTTTAACAAAAGGAGGAA